GAGTTAAAGTCCACACATCTTCAAGTTGCCAAGGTTGAGAAACACTGTCCTAGAGAGATACTGGCAGCCCATCCAGGCTACATAACTCTCATTTACAATGCAAATTGGTCACTTAATGAAAAAGTTACTATTACTTTTTACCTCCCTTGCAGCAGAGGCTAAAAGTGTAGCTGTATATTCAGAAATTGGTTGAGTGCCAGGGGACTAATGACAACTGAAGTGACAGAGGACTGTAGCCTGTCTCGTCCATGGAAGGGTGATGTCCTCCCTGCCAAACGGTTGAGTGTCAGTGTGGGGCCTTCTGACAATGGAGAAATTGGATGTTCTGCCACCCCAGTTGATTTCCCTTCACATTTGAGGCTGTGGTAAAGACAGGCCCTTTTTTCAACTTTGCTCCTGACTCCGGGTCAGGTTCTCCACCAATGGACTAAACCAGAGAACCTGGATTTGGCGAATTGTATCAATTCCTCAATATGCATTTTGTCTTCTAATGGGAGACATAGAGTGATTTTCTTTCTCCAATCACGGAGAAGAGCAGTTGTTCTTCCTTTGGGCTTCCGCCTCCATTTTCATCCCCAACAGGGATCACATCAGCGCTAGGATATGATCTCTTTTCTCCTTCCTTCTTCCCACACCATGGGGAATCCCTGGATGGATTCACGCAACACACTAAGCTAAAACGGGGCTGAATCATTTGTGATTCATTCTGTCGTGGAAACAGTCAGGGTGTAAGCATATGATGGTTGATTGATTTGGGCTTAGTGCTTTTGGTTAATGAAGCAGTTGTAGTTTGAGCATCTGAGTTTAACATTGTTTGGTGAACCTAGCCCTTCTGTGAATTCTCAAGGCTCTGTAATTTAGACAAGAGTGCTTTAACTCAGGTTACAGGTCAGCTGTATTTCACTCTGCAACCCCACCAAGGGCTTCTGATATATTGTTCTTTGTACACCGTGTGGGGGATGTCAGAGGCTCCAAAGACTCACCAAAAGCAGGTGATGGGATGGGAAAATACCTGCCCCAGTGCTTTGCAACTGTAGATGTTTCTCCTCCCTGGATGCAAAGATGCATGGTGGGGGTGGCCCCAGTTCTTCTGTCCTGTTGCAGACCGTCCTATTTCACCATCTGCTTCACTGAGTTATCTGCTTTCTGCAGCCGAATCTCAAGGAAGAGATTCAGAAGTGGCATGTGAAAGGAACAGAATGGAGCTGGGATGCCCTGAGGTTCATGTGGGAAAGAAAGAAAAGGGGCTCTTCTGTTCATTTTGAGAAGAGAGAGGGCTTGGGCAAGATGCTTTTCATGGGAGGGAGAAAGCTCCTCTGGTGCACTTTTTCCCCTTGTCATCAGGGCCACTAGCCTAGTTGGTCCTTTCTGAGCAAATCTGTTGCCAAAAAGATATGGAGGATTGAAGACGTCTTCTTTTTTGTCCCTTCTTGCTGTAGGGGATTCAGGAGATTAGGTGGCAACTGTGAAGGGGAATAGAGGTCCAGGAAACCATCTGGGCTGGCTGTAGCTTGGAGACACGCATGACAGTGCTGACCTCTGACACTGTCTCTCTTACAAGGAATGGGTTAAGCAGAAAATGCTGCGTGAAAATAGTAACAAATGCCTTTCTTTCCAAGAATATACCTTGATGGCTCTCTTTGTGAGAAACAGATGGATCCCTGGGATTTTGAATTTCTGTCTTTTTGTTTTTAAGGTTTAAACCTTTTCAGAAGAATCGGTTGACTGGCAAATGGGGGGAGCTGATTCTCAGCTTTGCGTTGCCTTTTTCATTTGCTCTGATTGTTGCCTGTGAGGGAGGAAAGCGAAAAATGCTGCCTGGGATTCCTTTGGTGGTTCCTCCAAACAGGCGAATCTTAACATAGGGACTTTTCTGACATTGGAGAAAGGATTAAATGGGTGCCTTAAACCTTGGAGATGCTTAGCATCATGATTTTACCCCTTAGCATTCCTTGCTCAGCTTTGGAATGTGACTCCCCAAATACCATGTAGAGTCTGGAACGGTCCTTAAGTTGACAAATGTTGTGCACCCCCGATGCAGAAGAAAGTCTTCTGTGCATGCAAACAGAATTGAGTGCTGGCTCCAGATTAAACTAGGATTTGCCCTTCCCTTTTTCTCCCATCCTTCCATCTTGTTTGAACACAGAAACGAATATTTTCAATGAATCCAAGCTGCTTGACTTTCTTTTATCTTTCCTTTGATGGGTGGAACACCCAAATTAGCTTTGGCTTTTAGCAATCAAAGGGAGATAGATCTTGATCTTCCGCTCTTCTTCAAGGTCAACCTCGCCAACAAAAATCAATCTTCCCACTGCTGTACCTCTTCCTGTCGGCGGTATGCTGTTCAAGGCAGCACCAGCTCTTGTGTAATTTCATTGGCTTGGACATCACTATCTTCCCATTTCCTCCTTTCCTAACCTGGCAGCCTCCAGCTGTGTTGTGGAGGGTTATCATCCAAAAACCTCCAGTGGGTACCAGGTTGGGAAGGCTATAGTATAGAAACTTGGGTTTTCTCTAAGAAATTGAGAGCATCGATGGATTGTCTCTAATCAATTCCCCCACAAGTGATTTTTTCCTGGTCCCTGAGAGCCCAGGGCTCCTGGACTAATGGATGAAGCTTTTCTCTCTCTCCTTCCACCAACCAACCCAGGTAGAATCCAAGCCCAGTACATGGCTAGGTTAGTATATTATGCTAAGTCATGGTTTGTTGAAGCAGCCATAGCGGCCTGGTTTATTCATAATACCAAAGTATAACCCAGGTTTGTAGATCACAGCAGATGGGATATTGCAGCTTAATGCAGTGAATGACCTTGGTCACCTGAGTCTGCAGCCCCTGAGCATTTGTGCAAACTGTCTTCGAATATTGTTCTAAGTCACCCTTATAATTTATTAAGTAAATTTATAATTGACATCACACAGTTCAACAGTTGATAAACCATGGCTTGCAAACCAGAACGTGCTAAGTCCAAACCAATTTCACCACATTTGGACATAATATAATTCACAAAGAAGGTCTACCTGTACTTTGACATCCTCTTGAAGGCAAGTCATAGAAGGCGCACCAAAGATGTTCTGTAGTGTTGCTGTGGAGAAAATAGTGGACTTGGGTGTTGCCTGGATAGGACCCAAAAGGACCACCCGTGTTCAGCTGCTTAGAGCTTTCAAACAAGGAAAGGAAGGAACCAAATGATTCAAATGATTATAGTTCTGTTATTTTGTCACTGCAAAATGGCTGATCCAGCTGGTTCTTTTATAGCACCATTCTCACTATCTAGTGCCCTAGTTGGGCAAAACCTCCCTACTTGCATGGTGGAGAAGGGCTGGACTCATACAATTTGCTAGGCTAGCCTTAAATGGAATTTGTGGTCTGTGGATCAGGGTATTATGATGTTCAGCTCTTTTCTTAGCCTGTTGTGTGAACCAAGGAGTCAGGTTTAGCCATAGTATAGATTATTTGCTTTGGTATCAAATGTTGCATAATTAGAGAATTTGTCAACCTAGAATTAGTGTGAAGTCATCCTGTGTGTCAATAGAGATTGTTGAATTAGTTGTTCCATCCAAACGTTCTCTATGAGTACAAGTAGTCCTCGGTTTACGACGGCAATTGGGACCAGAATTGCCGTCACTAAGCAATGTGGTCGTAAAGTGCAATGTCACGTGACTGCCCCACTTAGCAACAGCAATCCCAGTTGCTGTTGTTAAGCAAGAAGCTCACATGATCACAACTTCCAACTTCCTGCTGGCTTCCCCATTGACTTTGCTTGTGGGAAGCCAGCAGGGTTAGTTGCAAATCACGATGATATGACTGCAAGACACTGTGATGGCCAGAACTCCGAGGACATGTAGTAACTACACGCATTCAGTGGCGTCATAAATTTGAACAGTCACTGAGCAAGTGGTCATTAAACAAGGACCACCTGTACCAACCAGATCCTGTTCAAATGCAGTTTCCAATTCAAGAGAGAAACATGCATTTCTCTACCTTGCTAAAAAATCCTGTCTAGGAGCTATCGAGCATGGCATCAAGGACATCGCTTTCAATACAGTAAGGAGGGCAGCAAAGCTGTGTACCACACCTGTTCTCTTGTCCCTTTTAACTAGCTCCCTACAGTCCCAGTACTGAAGAAAACTTCAGTTGCCAATCTAATCAGCTTTTGTGCAGGGAATGGGAGAAAGTATAAGGCTAAACAGGCAAGTTAAACAGAACCATTATGTCAACATTGAGCAAGTGTCCCCAACTCTCAAGGCTGGAAAGAGAACAGCCAAATTTCAAATGACCCAAAAGGCAGAAGAAAAGACCTAGGATTTGAACTCGGGCTGATACCTATCCTTTTCTCTTTCTGGATTGATTTCTGGGTTCTACAGTAGGCGGGACTTCTTTTTGGTCTGCAATAAAGCACCTTTTCTAGCTGGATTGTGTCTGTGAAGCTTCTGTTGAAAGCCTGTTCCAGGGTATAGAATTGTGTATCTGGAATGTCAAGATGTATAGCTGTACTTTGAGTGAAGTCTGATGGGCGTGTTTCAGCAGCTCTAACATTTTGGATAGCATTGGAGGGGATTTTTTTTTCCTTGACAAGATTGTAGTTGATTTGTTCACTCTTGGGATTAACACTGTTGTTGTTTATATCTTTTGCTTCCTGTTCTTCTGTAGGACCTTCTGATGTTCCCTGTTGATTCCAGCCTTTCTGCTCTCCCAGAATGCCCCTGGCATCCAGCACTGCTGAGCACAGCCCTGAAGAAATCATGGACTCTGTGCCCGAAGAGTTCCAGCAGGTCCTTTCTATCAGCCAGATCCGTGCCACCCATGCCACCAATGACTATGTGGAGAGACCTGCCTGCAAGCAGGCCACTTCCATCACTGCTCTGTCCCAGGCACTGCCTGTCCATAAACTGGAGATGGCTCAGGAACGCCTGGGGTCCTCTGTCTTCCAGGAACTTCACTCCAGCCAACCACACCAGACGCTACCACCCCAACAGCCCCTGAGCCATTCCAGCACAGCCAGCTCGATCTCCCACAGCACCGCCACATCAGAGCAGCATCTCCTCAGGGCCCTCACCCCATCACACTCTGGACACTCACTCATCCGGACGCAGCCTCGGGCAAGTGACCTGAAGGCAGAAGAGCTGCTGAAGGGGGCCCCAGAGAAGTCACCCGCCCTTCACCCAGGCCACCTCTTCATCTGTGAAGAATGCGGGCACTGCAAATGTGCCCACTGCGCAACTGCCCGCACCTTGCCCTCCTGTTGGCTCTGCAACCAGCGTTGCCTCTGCTCGCCGGAGAACCTCATTGACTATGGGACTTGCCTCTGCTGCGTCAAGGGCATCTTTTACCACTGCTCCTCAGACGACGAGGACACCTGTGCAGACGACCCCTGCTCCTGTGGTCCTGGCTCTTGCTGCACCCGTTGGGTGGCCATGAGCTTTCTCTCCTTGCTCATGCCCTGCCTATGCTGCTATTTTCCTACCTTTGGTTGCCTCAAACTCTGCCAGCGGGGCTATGATGCCGTCAAACGGCCGGGCTGCCGCTGCCAGAACCACACCAATACTGTTTGCAGGAAGGTCTCCCCACCTAGTGGTCCCTCTCTCCCCAAAACTTTGGACAAACCAGTATGACTCCTCTGGCGAAGGGGTAGGGAATGGCTGTTCTCCTTGACCTTCTTCTTTCAGCCCCCCTCTCTTGAACGCCTCCCGCTGGGAACAAAGCAGAGACCCACTTGCTGGTTAGCTGCTGAGGTTCTCCTGGGAGGTTGGCCCTGTTTCTGGATGGAGGAAGCCACGGGTTGCTGTGTCCAAGCTGAGCTTTTTAGGCCTCGCACATTTCAGCCATGGCCAAGGGCAGGTGGAGGCATGCACTAGTCATCTTGGACATCAGATTGGGTGTGGAAGGGGGCGGGT